CCCAGGTGCAGGGCAGGAGCTGGGCTCACCGTTCTGCCAGGTCCCCCCAGTCCTGCTCCACCAAGCAATCAAGGACTGAAGGCTGGTTATGACCACGAGCTGTGGGCTTTCCAGCGAGGTCCCATCAGCTGGGTGGTGTCCTCACCTGCATGTAACGCAGCTGTGGAGCGGGCTCCGAGGCCCGGGAGGGGGCACCTGCCCCACCCCCCGCTGCCACCAGGGCACTCAACAGGTGCAGCTACTGCCCCCCTGAGCCACGCCCTGTCCCATGCCTCATCACACCTCTTAGCACTTTAATCCCAACAATTAACATGATACTGAGGAGAAGCAGGAGCGGAGGGCACACACCAGTGGACCTAAGCAGGAGGCTCAACGGTCCAAGGCTAGGCTTTACCAACAGATCTGAATGTGCCGAGGCACTGGCTTCCATGCCGGGGCTGACGCTGCGCAGCCAACCCCAGGCCAGCAGCTGCAGGAAGTGTGGGGCAGGGCCAGGTTCTGGGTCTGACTGGAAGGCAGAGCTGTCTGGGTTTGTGGCAGCTTGGATGTGGGACAGAGAGTGAGGGAGGCGACCCCCAGATCTGTGGCCTGAGCCGCTAAGAGGCCAGCCTGACAGCAAGGGTTCGTGACGTTTGAAGCTTGTGATTCTAGGTAAACTCCGTCAGCCCAGACAGCCCAGGTCTGACAATTCTGGAATAAATAGAAATCATCACTTTTCAGGCCGCTCTGGCTTACAGAACCTCCCACCTGGCGGGCTTTACTAGGCTCAGCGGCAGCATCAGAAGAATCCACTCCCTGACGGCTGGATCCCAGGCCCCACACAGAGTGGCCTAGTTTGTGAGCAGCCTGCATTGATGTAGAAATATGCTGCTGAAGTTACACTGCTCACACAGGACAGCAGTCCTGGTGATACGCATGTCACGGCAAAGCCAGCACACTTCCCTTCTGGAGGTCCTTTTGTGAGGGCCACGCACTGGGTCCCAGCCAAGCCTGCCCCCTAGAGGGGAGGCATACAACTGCAAAGGTGGATCGGGGCTGGGAGAGGACCCCAGGAACGGGGAGAGGACCTCAGGAATGGGAGAGGACTCCAAGATTGGGTGAGGACCCCAGGACTGGGGAGAGGACCCCAGGACTGGGGAGAGGACCCCAGGAGCGGGGAGAGGACCCCAGGATTGGGTGAGGACCCCAGGAGCGGGGAGAGGACCTCAGGAATGGGTGAGGACCCCAGGAGTGGCATGAGGACCCCAGGAGCGGGGAGAGGACTCCAGGAGCAGGGTGAGGACCCCAGGAGTGGCATGAGGACCCCAGAAGTGGGCAGAGGACCCCAGGAGTGGGTGAGGACCCCAGGAGGGGGGAGAGGACCCCAGGACTGGGTGAGGACCCTAGGATTGGGTGAGGACTCCAGAAACCATGGGCCTGTGGGAGATTTCCCGGAATATTGGAGGGACCTGCCTCACCCCTTCTTCGGATGGAGTCATCCTCACCCAGCCTGCTCCACAGAGGGCTGAGAGGGGAGTGCGTCAGCCAGGGGGCAGGGACAGCGGAGGAGACAGACAGTGGGACCGGTCTGAGTGAGCATCATCACCTCTTCCAGAAAATAATTAAAAGGCTACCAAAGCTAATTAAAAAGTTTGATTTTCAGGGCAAACAGGTCACAGATACAATTGCACAGCCACCAAAACAGGCCGGAGGGCTGTGCGAGTGGCTGGGAGAGTGGCAGCCCCACTGAAGGGCGAAGATGCCCTGGGAGATGGGCCCAGCACACGCCTGCCTCACAAGCAGCAGGAACTGGCAGCAACCTGGGCAGGACAGCGCCATCAGACATCGGTCAGGACACCTGCGAGGCCACGTGCCGCTCAGGAAGGAAAGGGTGCTGCCATGCAGACTGTCCCCTCCCACCAGGCTGGCCGTGAGAGCTGCCAGATTCCTAAGTGTGAAGTGAGTCTGGAACAGGTGAAACGCGGCACTCATGGGGCGCGGCAAAGAGCAGGCAGCCTGAGGGAGACCAGAGGGCTGCTGGGACCCGGTCTCGCCACACTCACTCAAACCTGCATGGCGTGTCGCCTCTGTGGGAAAGACTGCTGACGAGGGATACAGGAAATGGGTGGCAAATGGCAGGGAAAGAGGACAAGGTGAGGCCTGGGCTGGCACGAGTCGGGAAATAAGTAGAACATGTGATCAAACCACCACCAGAAGGACGCTGAGCTGGAAGGAGCCCAGGGACAGGCTGCCAGGACGTGCGGCTGGGATGCATGGCAGGTGCGAGGGGGAGAGACAGGAAAAGCAAGGGGGTGAAAGTGGCCAGCCAAGGCGAGGTGGCGGCCCCAGGAAGAGTGCGAGCCACAACAGGGGCAACCTGCTGCCAGGTGCGCCCAGGGAGCGGAAGCACACATCCACACAAACCAGATACGCGCGTCCCAGCAGCGCTAGTCACGAGACAAACTGGCCATGGCCATGTGACCTTGACTGATCGTGGCCCATCCTGAGGGCCTGGGACTCAGCGTGAGGAGCGAAGCACTGGCACACGCTACAACACACACGCACCTTGGGAGCATCACGCTAAGGGAAAGAAGCCAGTGTCGAGGCCCACTGCGTGTGACTCCCCCGATCCGCAAGGTGAGAAGAGGCAGGCCTGCAGAGCCTGGAGACAGGGTGGCCAGAACCAGGATGTGGGGAAGAGGGGCTTTGGACGTGATGTGGGTTAGGAGGTGGATAGGGGCAGAGGTGCGCTGGACAGAGGCAGCCTAGCTGGCAGGAAGAAGGGGCCACATGAGCTAAGAGTGGACCGCCACCCTCAGGACAGGTTAGAACCCCCCAAGAGGTGGACTCAGTGCATAATCGGCACCTGAGCTGAGGGTGGGAGGGAGTTTCTGGAAGAGCAGGTAGAGAGACTGCTAAGAGCCTAATTTCCTGCCTCCAACAAATTCAGTCTAAACCCAATTTATGTGCGCTTGTAAATCGACTTTGCAATGGCCAGGAAGTGTGCGCCGGATCATGTGGAGTCTTCATAACTGAAGTGCAGCAAGTCCTGGAAATGCAACTAATCCTTCAGACATTGGTTGTTTCCAAGGTCCACAGACCTCACATCTGATGGAGTCTGCAAATTTCTGGAGCACGCTAGGAAAGTGAAAGTGGAAGCAGTATGCATACTTAGTAATATATTAAAAAAGACTAGAATATTCTAAATGACTCATCTTTTAAAAGGCAGAAGAAACATTTGGAGTAGAAAAAATTAACTTGCACAAATGAAGGTGCTGGCAGTTAAATGCATGTCAGGAAACCCTAGGCTTAATGGCCAGCAGCCACAGCAAAAGCCTGATACCACGAGACACCTGCCCTGCTGCGGAGTCTCTGATTACTCTGAGAAACACTTCAGATGTAGTCCTCCTGGCTTGCTGTTATGTGCTCTTAATTGGAATGAATTTTAATTTGGGCAAGGATAACAGGGCAACAAGCAGTGAACAGTCAGTGGCAGACAGCAGGACCCACATACCTACAGATCTACAGATCCCACCTGTAGTTTCCTCCCACTACAGCATGACCCTTGCCCGGCAGTGTGATACATGCCGGCCCGCACCAGGGGCTAAGTGGGTTCCTCTGCGGGGCTGGCCGTCTGTACCTCCACCACTCCAAGTTGCCCCACCTCCCAGGCCCTGCCTCTCTCGTTTAGACTGAAGAGTGTGTGGCGTGGGGAGGAACCAATAAGACGATTCCAAACCCAGATGCCAGGTCATAGGGCCCATTGCACAGCAAAGCTCATCAAGGCATATCCATATGATTTGTGTTTTACTCTATGCAGATTATGCTTCATTAGAAAAAAAAAAGAAAGGCATTTAAAAGTTAACGAAGAAGTAATAAATGAGGGATCTAGCCTACTTGCTACTTTCAACCTCTTCCAAATCAATCAGACAGGCTTTTCTATGCATTTTTTCCTCATGTAGTTTTCTTTTTATTAAAACCTCAACCAAAATGGAAAACAGAAATTAAAAATTTCCTTTTTTGGAGCAAGACAGTGAAAGCAGGCTCACCCATCCCAAAGTTTTCTAAACTCCGGACACAGTCAAGGTCCTTCAAGGTTATTTTCTGACAACTGATCTGTTAAAAGCCTGGCAGGAAGTGAATGCCAAACTTGAGGAATGCATTCTGGGATCTGCAGTTCTACCCATAAAGATGATTCTTCAGAAAAAGTAGACAATTTTGGAGCTGGGAGGAGCTTTGGAGGTCAGGTCGAGTTTCAGGAAGGTAGGACAGGCCAGAGAGGTTAAATGTCTTGTGCAAGGAGTGGGGCTCTGCCCTCTGTGGTTCCCACTGGGACCCAGGGAAGCTCGCAGAGCCAGGCACACAACGGAGCTGTCTTTCTAAACAGTCACTCTAGAAATTCTTTTGTTTGCCTCCTAGAAGGCCGAATGCCCACACAGCTTGGCTTTGAAAGCAGATGCTCAGTCTCCTGGCAAACGGGTCTGCAGGTGAGCCCAGAACCAAGCAGACACACCTACTGGGACTCAGGGAAAGATCCCCTCTGGGCACAGCCACCCTCACACAGCCTTGTATTAGTTTCAGCAGGGTTCCTGTCACTAACTGCACTGGCCGTCCCAGTGTGGGGGACACCGTTCTGCACTGGTGATCTGTTTGTGTCCCACTGGCATGGCACACCCAGAGAAGCTGTTCCCCTGAAATGATAGCAAGGTTCTTGCTTTATCATGCATGAAATGGAAAGGTATGCATGCATATGGGAAATAAGAAATGATGGACAGCAAACAGGGCAAATGTTTCCATTAAATACAAAAAGATGTAACGGGAGACCAAATAGTTACTGTCTGTAGATGTCATGGTTACCTAATTGATGCAGAAGTCTCAACTGAACAACTATTAAAAGAAATAAGGTTAGAACTGGTCATGTACTAAAACTGGTAGCTTTCCTGCATTTCAGCAACAACCAAATTAAAAACTGTAAGGGAAGGGGGCTTCCAGTTACAACCATGACACCTAATGAGCTTAGGGGTCAGAACTCCCGTCTTCACAACATGAAACACAGGAAGAACTGAAAATCAATGACTTTTTTGGACTCATCAGAAAACTGAAGTCATAGATGTCTCCCCAAATCTGCAGAGACCTGCTAACACAGTTACAGCCAAGAGCTGCTTACCTGGGGCAGAAACCACTGGGGCCAAGAACTAGCAGGAGCTCTTGATACTGATTTGGATGAAATGCTGGAAGCGGAGTGTGGACAGCGTTTGAGTGAGAATCTCTGGGGCTGCAGGCTTGGGGGTCCCACTTTTGTGGAATCGACATTTAGGAACCCAAGTTCTCACCATGAAACGCCAAGAAAAAGATCACCTCGCTCTGCAGGGGGAGAGGAAGGGAACTGTTCTGCGACACACCCAGAGCATCTCTCAAACAACACAGTGAGAATGGCTCTCCAGGGTGTGGTCTCACCTGGGGCAGGGCACTGCCCACACCAGCCTTGCCGTCTCACCAAGGGGGGAAAGAAAAGGAGAAACATGTGCAAGGGGCACCGCCCACAAAAGGCTGAAATGGAATCACAAGATCAGACTGCTTCTTCCCCCAGCCTCATACCTGGACCTCAACAGGAAAGGCGGAAGCTCTCAGGGAACCCCTAAGGACAGCGGGGCAGACAGAACATGAGGACATGAGAGGGATTTGAAGCCCCCAGGATCTGGTCACAGCAGAGATCAGACACAGCCCAAAGAGAGCCAGGTCAGCATGACACCTCAAGCTAAAGGCCTGTTTGCCTCCGTTTCTCTTATCTGATACACGTCTACCCTTCAAAGAAACTACAAGACAGGCTTAAAGGCAGAAGAAACATAGTCTTATGAACCCTCACCTAGCATAAGGACCTGACTCAGACATGGCAGGGACTTTGGAATGATCAGACTTGGAACTTAAAATAACCATGATTAACATGCTCTAATGGACAAAGTGGACAACATGCAAGAGCAGATGAGTTATATAAGTGGAGAGGAAATGCTGAAAATCAAACCTACAGTCACAGAAATGAAGAAAGCCACTGACGGATGGGGGAAGCAGCAGTGAATCTGCAGAAAACACGCCAACAGGAAACTTCCAAACAAAATGCAAAGAGGAAACAGAAAAAAGAAAAGACTAACAGAGAGTCACAAAGGTGATATACATGCACAATGGAAATAAAAGGAGACAACAGGGAAGACACGTGTATAGCTGAGAATTTTTCAAAATTAACAGCAGACTGTACCACAGATGCAGGAAGCTCAGGGAACATCAAGTATGATAAATACCAAAAAATCTACACCTCAGCACATCATATTCAAAGTGCAGAAGACCAAAGACAATGAATCTTGAAAGAAGCCAGAGGAAAAAGAACCTTTTTTACAGTGCAAAAAGGGTAAGGACTACAGTGGGCTTCTCACTAGAAGTCATGCAAGCAGAGTAGCTCCTATGTCCAGTGAAGCCATCCTTCAAAAGGAGGTGAAATAAAGACTCTTCCAAATAAAAGCTGATGGAGTTCTTTGCCAGCAGACATGCCCTGCAAGAAATATCAAAAGAAGTTCTTCAAGGAGAAGGAAAATAATACATGTCAGAAACTCAAATCTTTATAAAGAGCATCAGAGCCCCGGTCCACCGCACCACGGCCGGCCGGAGCTGGGGGCAGGTGGTGGGTGGGTGCGGAGGCCTGCAGGGAGAAGTGGGGGTGGGATGGAGGATTCCAGGGAAGGGCAGGTTTGCTGCCTTCCCCTCCGGCGGCCTCTGGAGGGCCAGGTGGAGGTATAGCACTTTGGACCAGGTCTTGTTCTCAGCTTGCAGTACTTAAATGGGTTAGGAAGGAAAAGATAAACACCATAACCAAGAGTATAAAATGCTCCTTCAGCTGAATCTTACAGCATCATATTTTCATCATTTACCTGAGGATAATAAAATCAGCAGATAAGTCTCCCTTCCACAGATGTTGGAGGTGCATCACTGTACTGCAAGTCAATCAATACAGTAATTTAAGTCACTTCAACTATAATGGAAAAGTATGAAAAATCAGCTAAGATTGGAGAAGGGTCTTATGGGGTTGTATTCAAATGCAGAAACAAAACGTCTGGACAAGTGGTAGCTATTAAAAAATGTGTGGAATCTGAAGATGATTCTGCTGTTAGGAAAATAGCACTGAGAGAAATATGTATGTTGAAGCAATTAAAACACCCAAACATTGTGAACCTCATTGAGGTGTTCAAGAGAAAAAGGAAAATGCATTTAGTTTTTGAATACTGTGATCATACACTTTTAAACGAGCTGGAAAGAAACCCAAATGGAGTGGCCAATGGAGTGATAAAAAGTATCTTATGGCAAACACTTCAAGCTCTTAATTTCTGTCATAAACATAACTGTATTCACAGAGATGTAAAACCTGAAAATATTCTGATAACTAAGCAAGGAATAATCAAGATCTATAACTTTGGGTTTGCACAAATTCTGATTCTAGGAGATGCGTACACTGATTACGTGGCTACGAGATGGTACCGAGGTCCTGAACTTGTGGGAGACACTCAATATAGTTCTTTGGTAGATGTATGGGCTACTGGTTGTGTTTTTGCAGAGCTTCTGACAGGCCAGCCACTCTGGCCTGGAAAAATCAGATGTGGACCAACTTTATCTGATAATCAGAACACTAGGAAAACTAATCCCAAGACACCAATCTATCTTTACAAGCAACCAATTTTTCCAAGGCATCAGTATTCCTGAACCAGAAGACATGGAAACTCCTGAAGAAAAGTTCTCAGGTATGCATCCTGTGGCTTTGAGTCTCATGAAGGTGTGTCTGAAGATGCATCCAGATGACAGACTAACCTGTGCGCACCTCCTGCAGAGCCCCCTACTTTGATTCCTTTTGAGGGGACCAAATTAAAAGAAAAGCACACCATGAAGGAACAAACAGAAGACGTCAGCAGGTACCTCCATTCAAAAGCTAAAGTGCTGTAAAAAAAATTTTTTTTTCCTTTTTCTACCTTTCAACATGAGACTAGGTGGACACCAAGACCTTTTCTTTCCACTGGTTTAGTTGTATTTGTTTATCTTAATAAATACTGATGATTGATATAATAAAACCAGAAAACTATGAAAATAAAAAAAAGGAGCATCAGAGAAGAAACAAATGAAAGTCAAATAAAATCTTTTCTTTTTCTTATTCCTAATTGACCTAATCTTCAAATCAATAATAGTAACAGTGTGATTAGAGAATACAGTTAAGTGACATGAATGACAGCAATTTTATAAAGGATTAGAACGAAATGGGGAATACTGTGTTATAAGCTACTTGCACTGCCCTTGAGGGGGCACAGTATTATTTTAAAGTGGACTAAGATTACAGCCGATCCCTCAACAACATGGGTTTGAACTGTGCAGGTCCTCTTATGTGAAGGTTTTTTCCCAATAAATATACTGAAAAATTTTTTTGGAGATTTATGACAATTTGAAATAAACATTCTCTTTTCTCTAGCTTGCTTTATTGCAAAAACATGGTATCTAATAGATATAAACATAAAGTATGTGTTAACCATTTATGTTATCAGTAATGCTTCTGGTCAACAGGAGGCTAATATCAGGTAAGTGTTTGAGGGGATCAGAGTTACAGACAGATTTTCGACTGCACTGCTCAGGGGTCAACTGTAATTGTAAATGTCTAGTGCAAATTCTAGGACAACCCTGAAAAAGTTTTAAAAAAGTATTAATTGGTATGGTAAGGGGAAAAAATGAATTCACTAAAATGCTCAATTAAAACCAGAAAAGGCAGAAAAGAGGAGGAAGAACAGATACAAACAGAAAGCTATTATTAACATGACAGAACATAATCCAACTACGGCAATAATCTCTTAAAAACATAAATGGCTTAAGTATGCTAATGAAAAGATGGAGACTGTCAGCGTAGATTGAAAAAAAGATTCAACTCCATGTTGTCTATGAGAAACATTTTAAATATAAAGACACAGATTAAAAATAAAGTGATAGAGAAAGATATATCATGCTAATACAAACCAAAAGAAAGCTGGAATAGTTAGTTTCAGACAAAGTAGACAATAGGACAAGAAAAATAATCAGGGACAAAGAGGGTCATTATACAGTAAAAAGGAAGACACACAACCTGACTGGGCTGAGGGATGCCCAGAGAGCTGGTAAACATTATTTCCGGGTGCATGTGTGCGGGTGTTTCCAGAAGAGAACATTTCAATGGGTGAACTGAGTAAAGCAGATGGCCCTTCCCTACGTGGGTGGGCACTGAAGACCTGCGTGAAACAAGAGGCAGGTGAATCTGCTCTCTGAGCTGGGCCATCTCCTGTCCTGAGACAGCACTGCTCCTGGTCCCTGGGCCGTCGGAGTCAAATTGAGACTTATACCCACCTAAATGCTCCTGCCTCCATACCCCCCAACAGTTTTCAGGCCTTTGGACAGAGGCTTTACCAGCTTTCCATCCACAATCACAGGGGTCAATTTCTATAATAAAATTTCCTCTGGTATGTATGTGCGTATCTGTCTATGTGTCTGTGTACACGTACATGTATATGCAAATGTATATGTATACGTCCTGTTGATTCTGTTTCTTTGGAGAACCGTAACCCTACTTTATCCACCAACAGCAGAACACACATCTTTCTCAAGCTCACATGGGTCACTCACCCGGAAAGACCATATCTTGTCCCATGAGGTTCACCTTAACAAATCTAACAGCCTGGTGATTATACAAAGTATGCTCTCAGACTACAAAGGAATTAAACTAGATATCAGTAATTGCAAGGTAGTTGAAAAATCCCCAAATATTTGTAGATTAAACAAGACACTTCTAAAGAACAACTGCGTCAACAAGGAAACCTCAAAAGAAATAAAAAAATGTGAACTAAATGGAATGAGATACAACTTATCAAAATTTGTGGGATCCAATAAAAGCAACATTTGGAGGGAAACTTATGGTACTGAGTATATATTAGAAAAGGAAAAAATGTTTAAAATTAATAATCTAAGTTTTACCTTAGGAAAGTAGGAAAAAAAAAGAGCAGGTAAGTTGAAAGCAAGCATAAACCAATGAAACTGAAAATAGGAAAATAATGAAATCACAAAAATCAAAGGCTGTTTTTTAAAAAAAGATTGGTACACTCTAGTCCAGGTAACTAAGAAAAGAGAAAGAGAAGACACAAATTACCAACAGCACAATAAAAGGGCCATTACTACTGATCCTATGGATATCAAAAGGTCCCTAAAGGGATACTATGAATAACTCTATGTGCACAAATTTGATAACTCAGGTGAAACAGGCCAATTCCTTGAAAGACACATACTAACCAAACTCACAGAGGGAGAAACAATAATCTGAATAGGCCTGTATCTATTAAACAAATTGAATGAATAATAACTTTCCAAAACAGAAAGCAGCAGGCCCAGACAAGTTCACTTTAAGAAAGAAATTATACATGTTCTTCATAATCTCTTCTAGAAGGTAGCAGCAGAGGGACTACCACCCAACTCACAGCATTACCCTAAAACCAAAACTAGACAAAGACATCATCAGAAAGGAAAACCACATGCAAGTATTTCTCAAGAACACAGATGCAAAAATCCTTAACAAGCATTAGCAAATTAAATCCAACAACATAAAAAAATAAGTTAGGACCAAGTGGGTTTTTCCCAGGTATGCAAGGTTGGTCCTGCATCAAATGATGTAATCCATCAAAGAAAAATCACACAATCCTATCAGATGCAGAAAAACTGTTTGACAAAATCTAATACCCACTCATAATAAAACCTTTCAATAAACTAGGAATAAGGAGGAACTTACTCAACTTGATTAAGAGCATCTATTTAAAACAACAACAACAACAAAAAAAAAACCCCCCAAAAAACACAACAGCTCACATCACTTACTGGTGAGAAACTCAAAGCTTTCCTACTAAGACCAGGAGGAAGGCAGGGATGCCGCTCCCATGCTCATTTCAACACTGCGCTGGAAACCCTAACCGAAGCAGTAAGAGAAGAAGAGGAGATAAAAGATACACAGATTGGGATGGAAAACATAAAACTGTCTTTGTTTGCAGGTAACATGCCTGTCCATGCAGAAAATCCCAGAGAATCCACAAAAAACTCCTGAAATGAATAAGCAATATAGCAAGTTTGGAGCATGCAAGATAACATGCAAAATTTAATTGTTTTTGTATATATCAGCAATAACCTCTGAAACAGAAAACACAGGAACATTTACACTTGCACCAAAAAAAGAAAAAATATTTCAGTATAACTCTAACAAATTGTACATAAGATTTACATGAGGAAATCTACAAAACTCTGATGAAAGAAATAAAAGAGCCAAATGAATGGATGGACAGTCTGTGTTCATGGTCAGGAAGACGCAATTCTGCTAAGACGTCAACATGCCCTGTAGAGTCAACACAACCTCAATCAAAATCCAAGCAAGTCACTTTGTGGATATCAACAAACTGATTCTAAAGTTTGAAGGGGGGTGCAAAAGACCCAGAATAGCCAGCACAATATTCAAATATCCATGAAAAGGACCAAATGGAGAACTCACAATACCCCAATTCAAGACTTACTAAAAAGTCACAGTGATCACACAGCATGGTGTCAGCAAAAGGAGACACACGGATCGATCCACAACAGAGAGCCCAGAAACAGGCCCACACAAATACAGGCAGACCGCTTCTTCACAAAAGGAGCAACGGTGGCGCAATGGGGAGAGAAGAGTCTAGTCCGGCCAACGAATGGCTTGGTGCAACTGGACCATACACAAAAAAGACTCTAGACACAGACCTTACACCTCACAAAAATTAACTCAAAATAGAGTACAGACCTAAATGTAAAATGTAAAAGTAAAAAATTCCTTAGAGAAACAGGAAAAAAATTTATGTGACCTTCAACTTGGCAATGAGGTTTAGATACAACACTAAAACATGATCCATGTAAGAAAAAATTGATACTGGAATTTATTAAAATAAAAAATGTATTTTCTGTAAAGACATTGTTAAAGAGAACAAAATAAAAAGAGAATAAAGTGAAAAGACTTGGGAGAAAATATTTGGGAAGAAAAAAACCCAAAAAAACTACCTGTCGCCCTCCCTGCTTCCTCCTCCTTGGCCCTGCAGGCAATGCATTTTCTTTTGGCCCCTGGTTTTGGAAAAATTCACATACCTGACCTATGTTTAGATTTTCCCTACCATTTCTATTTCATACATTTAACTTGTAGACTGTGATGTTGTTATTACATAATGAACTGAAACAAAAAAGGGCTTGTACCCAAAATATACAAAGAACTTGTAAAACTCAAAAACAACAACAACAAAAACAAACCAATTAAAAAAAAATAGGCCAAATATCTTCAAAAAGATGAACAAAATCAATAAACCTTTAGCTAGACAGACTAGGGAAAAAAGAGATAAGATTCAAGTTACTAAAAACAAACACAAGTGAGGACATTACTACTGATTCTACAAAAATAAGATGGAAGTATAAAAGGACTTTCAACAACCGTGTGCCAAAAAACTGGATAACCCAGATGAAAGGGACAAATTCCTAAAAACATAAAACCTACCAAGACTAACTCAGGAACAAACAGAAAATATGAGTAGACTTATAATTAGTAAAAGGATCGAATAAAAAAAATCTTGTGACAAGGAAAAGCTGAAAACCTAATGGCTTCACTGGTGAATTCTACCAAAAATTTAAGTAGAACTAATAGAAATCATTCCCAAACCTTTCAATAAATTGAAGAGGAACACTTCCTAATTCATTCTATGAGACCAGCATAACCCTGACAGTGAAGCCAAATATGATGCAGAACAATGTCCCTTATGGCCACTGATGCAAAATATCTCAACAAAATACTGACAGAATGAATTCAGCGGCAGTATTAAAAGAATTACACATCAGGCCAAGTGGGATTTATTCCTAGAATGCAAGGATAGTTTAATAT